CTTCCGCGGGATGTGTGCAGTTCTGTTTATTAACCGCTAGAGCGCCAAAAGTTACATAGCGCTGCTTTAACACACTTAAGTACACTTTTAAAAAGTGCACTTTGTAATAATGTCGAACTAAGAGTTTTACTTTAAAGATTATTAATCATTGTTTTGTTAATCTGTTGTCATGCTTTAATAACACTTATTTTGATGTGTTGACTAACATACTAAAGTACATATAAAGTACTTGATAATAACTTTAACTGTAGTGTGTTATTCAATACATTTAATAACATTTAATATTACAGTTAAAATGAAGTTAAAGTTGTGCTTAAGTCCTATAATAATTTATTTGTAAATAATATTTAATCAAGGAGCTGAAAACATGACATTCAGTTCACACTTAAGTTTTAAATTAAAACTCTTTTTAAAAGTATACGTGTAATTCTTTTTCACAAGGGAAGCTCATGCCATGCCAGAAGTTATGCCAGAAGTTATGTGTGTTGATGCGACGGCTCTAAAATGTTATTTAACTCACATTGTAAAGTTGATAATTTGATACCTCACTGGGGAAGCAATCAAAATCAACAAGAGAGCAATGATATACATGTGCTATAACAAGTCTCAGTTAGCTTAACGCAGTACACGTAGCAAGTTTTTTTTTAAATCATATAATAAAAAGAAAACAGAATAAATAGAAAAAGAATAGAGCAAGCTAGTGTTAGAGGCCTTATTTGCTTTTGTTAATTGTATAATAAATAAAAAGAAAACAAATAGATAGAATACAAAAAGATTAGAGAAGCTAGTGTTAGCTTTTGTTTTTAAACAAAAAAACAAGCAGTTAGTAAATAAATAGAGTGCAAGTCTAAACGGGGCAAGATGTTTTTTTTAAAATAAAGAATAGAATAATAGATACAGACATAATATGTATAGGCTATACATAATAATACATAATATAATATACAGACATAATACATCACGTGTAATTTTTTTTTTTTTTTACAACCTTTCATTTCAGCTTTGTGTAGGAATCTTTTTTTTTTAAACTAAACTCCGAATCTATGCAGAATTAAAAAACTCGACAAGCTTTCCCACATTACTATACTTTTTTAAATGGTCACAAGTTTTAAATGGAGAATGTGAAAATAAAACTAATTTTTTTGAAAAAAGTTGCTCATTGTGACTCATTTTGGCAGCACAGGTCACATTTAATCGAGAAAGCAGGAGTATTATTAAAAGTAGGTGTATATAAATAACATTTATTTCATATCAAATGCTGCGCCTGTACTTTTTGAACACTTTTCAGTAATGACTCAAATGAATCAATGAATCATTTTCAACCCGTTAAACAAGTCGTTCGAATTTAATCATAATGAGTTAATAAGACGAAACTGACTAGAATAATAATTACTCCTAATCTATGCAGAATTAAAAACAGTTCAAATCACTTCTTAAAAAAAGTATCACCCTAAAAAACTCGACATTGGTTTGCCAACCGCCATTAAATCCTAAAAGAAGAAGAAGAAAAAACTCGACACGCTTTCCCACATCACTGTACTTTTTTAATGGTCACATCAGTTTTGAGCTCCACCTTCACTTCATACTTTCCCGTTCTCATCGCCTGGCGCGGCGCCGCTGCGTCACGGTGACGTCGCGGCGTCGCTGAGATGACGCTGTCAGTGGTAGTGGTAGTAATGTGCGGGCTCGTGCTGCCGTTTCACATCTCCGCGCATCACCCGTGCGTTTAAACCTTCCCAGCGCCGCCCTTCACGCATGGAGTTGCGCACCGAGACGGTCCTGGCGAGTCTGGAGATGTCGGAGGTGGAAAGCGACGGCGGATCGTCGGAGGGCGACGAGGATTACGAGAGTTTGCCCGCTCACGCGTCCCTAGGCACGCACATGACAGCGGGCGCCGTAGCCGGAGTGCTGGAGCACACAGTCATGTACCCCGTGGACTCGGTCAAGGTAACTCAGCGCAGACAGCAGGGCATGAACACATGCACCAGGGTCTCAGGCGTGCTGTTAGCAGCCCTGGACAGCTTATGCGACGTAGCCGTCAAGCTAACTTTTAAAACAAAGTTAGGCTAGATCAGCATGACAAATGACTTGATGACTCAAACCTTCTCAAATTGGTCCAAAACAACAACAACTAAGTTAAACCAGCACAGTCGGCCATGCTTTTGCAGTTTAAGCGCGCTGTGCTGTTTACGAGTTTAAAACAGTGTACTACTTCTCCAGACAGCAGTTGCCCACACTGCTAAAGAAGCTCTCCTAACCTCATATTAGTGCTGTCAAATGATAAATCACGATTAATCGCATCCAAAATAAAAGTTTTTGTTTACGTAATATGTGTGTGTACTGTGTATATTTATGTATATATAAATACACACACACACAGTATATATTTTGAAAATATTTAAATGTATAAATTTTCATTCATATAATTTATATTATATATAAATATATTTAATCTATAAACATTACATATTTTTCTTTATATATATATATATATATA